GGTTTGTACCCTTTGAGCTTCATTGCACCAATGAAACATTTTGCTCATCTGCAAAGTACTGAACTTCCACAAAATTCCAAAAAAGCATCTTTTGAAGTATATGTGCTATCTTGTCATCAGTTTATATCTCTAAATTGCAGCTCTGAGTCTACTGGTACTTTAAAAGGACTGACTTGCCCATAAATGTCTGTAACATGAATATTTATTTTTATATCACTGCAGCAGATCAATATATTCTATTTTTCACTTGTACAAACATTGTATCTCTCTCTCTCTCTCTCTCTGTGTGTGTGTGTGTGTGTGTGTTACTATTTATTAAATATATATCCCACCCTTCCTCCAAAGAAGCCCAGAGCAGCAAACAGGTCAACATTATAAAAATACAATACAAACTTCTTAGAAAAGTGATATGTGTGTGTCCATATCCACAGACACACACACACACACACACAGAGAGAGAGAGAGAGAGAGGAAAATTCTGATAAAAACAAAGAAGAAAGTAGAAACTGTTTGTCTGTGCTCAGGAATGAAACTCAGTCAAGCAAATACAATGGGTATTAATTCACCTTTTTTTAGTTTGCAAATGATACATAATCAATTACCTTTTTCTACATTGTTTTAAGATTGCATTGGAATGAATGTAACTTGCATAAGCTAAGTAAATAGTGAAGCAAGTTGCATAACTTACATTAAATAGTAGACAGCAAGACAAATAACGTAGTATCTGGCAAAAATCAAACTGAAGCAGAATGGAAGCACCACTGATTATGATGTGTACAGCTCGAAACAGAAACATCCCTATTGTGCACACACTTCCCATTTTTAAACAGAGCCAATTAGCATTGCTTCTGCCTCTTGTTCTAAAGCAGCCAGCAATAATAAAGAGAAATACTTCTGAATCCTGAGTGCCAACTGGGCATCTACAATCTCCCCCCACGAAGCTGGGAGAGAAAGAGCAGAGCTTTAGTTTTAGGGCAGTTGTCAGTCTGTTTTCTTTTTGGAAAAACTTTTCGATTCTCAAATATGATTTTGAAAGTTTTATAACTTACAGTTTACAGTAGGATTCCTTTACCACAGCTAAACCTTATCACACTTCTTCATGTTTGGATGCATTCAGTCAATTTCACCACTGCTGAAAATGTACTATTTATATTGCATTCACTTGCAAGTGGATGTAGTTCGGACCGGGAACATCATGGTAAGGTTTCGCTGTGGTAGAGGAGCAATGGTATAAGCTATAAAACTATCAAAAAAACAATTTGAGGTGCTCCACGACAGGCTGCATTTGCATGAAGTGTGTCTCACTGTGTTCAGTTGCATTTACCCTCAGGTTGTTTATATGAATGCAGCCTTAGCAACATTAGAGCCAAGTATGTTACAAAAAGAACACTTTAACAGCCTATTACTGCAAACCACAGGCCACTCAAGCTTGCTATTAAAAGTGGCTCATCCCCAAGAATGCTCTCTTCAAGCCTTTTGTGGTTCATAAATACTGTCCAGTGGTTGCTTTAGAAAGCATTTTCCCCTAAGGTTCCAATGCAAAGCCAGCTGGGTGGACTGAGCCTCCGAGAAGCACCTGATGATAGCCATCACTCAGCAAGGAAGCTCCCCAAGCTGCTTCAAGGAAAGATGGGGTGAAAATGTAATGAGTTTGGTGATGTGAAGTTGCAAATGCACTGTTAATGGAATGCATAGATTAAATTGTATGTCACTACTTTATTTCCATTTGTAACTAAGTATGAATTAGTTGTGTTATTTTGTAACATCATGTGTTACCCAATCCAGTTTATTTTATTTGCAGCATTGCAATGCACAATAACAACTTCCATTGTAGTGAAGCAAAAACTGGCAATGAAATGTTGCTCATTTAAGTTATTCTAGATCTTAACTCTATCAACTGCGTATCTAGTAGAAATGGTGCTCTTATACAGCACAGCGTATTTGCCTTTATTCCTGAAAATTGCAAAATTATTCATATGTGTTCAGCTTAGCAGAAGCAATTGTTTGCAGCAGAAGTCTTGCCTGTAAATACTTCAAGAGAGCATGTTCTCATGTCCCTACTGAACTGATAAGTGATTTCTTGAAACGTTTACCATTCTATCCTATGCAGACTTAAGATTTCAGTCCTATGCACAGTTTCCTGGGAGAAAGTCACATTTAACTCAATGGTGCTTACTTGAGCAGACATGCACAGGACTTTACCATCAGGCTTCTAAAATAAAATGCTCCCCACCCCCAAAAGACCCTTAGGTACAGCTAACCTTGTCCCAGAAGCTTCCAAAAAACTATCAGCAATTCAAATTAAAATAATCAGAAAAACTGAGCAACAATAAATATGCAGCAACTTATTGGGAGGGGAGGTAGTTTTGTCAACCAAGAGGCAAGTAGCATTCTTAATAAATAAAAATTCAGTTCCACATATTTCTTTGACATATCTCTGTACAGTGTTCCATTCTGTGGTATAACAGCTTCCAAAATTAGATGCCCATAATATGTACTAGATGGCCCTTGGTCTTTTAAACATCCAAGTAATGACATTTTAGCATCTACATGGAATATTTCAAGTATTTAGAACACTGAGGCTGCAAACCTAACCCATTACATTTCAAAGTTAAGTCCTACTGGATTCAACAGGGCTTCCTCCCAGGTAAGTGGGGTTAGGATTTCCCTAACCTTAATTTAATAAGAGTGCTTACAACAGCCTGGTAGAAATGACTGCTATTATTATTATCTCCTTACTGCAGATGGAAAGGCTAATGCTGAAAGAAAGTTGGTTCACCTAAGAAGGCTGACTTGGAGCAGAGGACTTAGAGCTCACACTGTATGGCTGGGGTAACAGAGTTCTAGACAAAAAATATGTTCAATGGGTGCGTCAAAGCAAACAAGCATAGAAATCACTCCATAGTCAATCATGAATTTGTTCAGGGTTTTGAAATGTTTCTTCATTCAGTTTCTGTCCTGCGTATATATTTTTATTGTCAAACTAGCAACACTAAAAACTAAACAAAAAAATGTGTGTATGTAAACACACACACAGTGTGTTCAGAATTCTCCATTACATGACAAAACATTTAGTGATCTTTCTATATCTATGAACATAAAACTTTGGGCATGATCCAGCCGCATTTGAGCATACTTAAGTTCCATGTGTCTCTTGTGTGAGAGGTTTAAATTTTGCTGGCCCCTCCCACTGAACTCAGTGGAACTTGTCAGAGTTTAGCTTTGACTGGATCATGCTCTTAGTAAATGTGGGGAATTTTGGTTATCCTGAACTGTAAATGTAATGATCAACATTTAATTTGAGCCAAGCCACATGCTCTACATGTTTGAATATGTTTTTTTAAAGGTCAATATTTATGTCAAACATGTTTCAGCAGTTGTCTGAATAACAGCCTGCCATGGAAACAAACATTCTCTGTAGTGCTTGCTTCTACAAAGGTTTCATTTGTCACACCACAAAACTCATGCCTCTCTGCCAAAGAAGTAAACCTGGGATGAATTGTAATCTGTAGCTTATATAGTATCATTTCAAGTTGTAATGTGAACATATAAAGAAAAATGGCTAGGAAGCAGGAACAAGATGAAAAAAGGTCTGCTACAACAGTATTTATTGAAAGCTTTTATACTTAGATACAATTTCTAGGGGGAAGCTAGAGAGCAGCAGTTCCATGCAGCTGCTAAAATCGCTTCTGATTTTTTCTTTCTTTCAAAAAATGGTCTAGTTTTATTTTAAGAAATATGAACTGTTTCTCTCACACACCACATTGGAACGATTTTGGGAACATATATTTTTACTACATCTTCCCTTTCAGAGCTCAGCATATGTGCAGTTGGAAACTAGGTATGCATCCCTTGGTACATGCTTATAAGGAATATGCCATGCATGTAATTGAATGCACAGGACTTTACAATAATTGATGCATTACTTCATTTTCATACATTTTTATTTCCTGTTTGTGGTCCTGCACCCAAGTGTGCAACTGCTCATCCTCATTATCATATCTTCCCACACACATTTATCTCTACATGCCCCCAGCATAAATAGCATAAACAGCTCTCCCAAACTCCTACATCGAGGCAGGCAAAATAAATAAATAAATGCTGATTTATTACCAAGACAGTATGTAAATAGAACCTCCCTCCCGAATTTAAAAGCCATTTTCTTCAGGGACACCATGCCAATCCCTGCTCCTTCCCTTGCCCATGTCTTCTGTTTCAAAAAATTAACGATGTACTCAACCAACCAAAGGTAAGCAGCTCTTTAAAATCTCAGTGATATTGCCATGAAAGAATAAAGCATGTGCTTATAAAAGCTCCCACGAATATCAACAGGACTGAAGAGTTCTCAGCTGTGCCTGGACTGTGCCCTGTCCTTTCAGCGTCTATGTTAACTACCAACCAGAACTTCCACACAAAAGCATAGAGTCTTACCAGAACTTTGGGGGCAGGGGGAACCAGTATAATTCTACCACAGGTAATGGAAGGGATGAGGTGGGAAATGTAAAGCAAGGCTAAATATACCTTGGAGCAAAATACTCAGAAGCAGCACAAAGTCACCGTAAGGTTCAAAGGTATTTTCTATATATATAAAGATTTAAAAAGAGAGTGCTGATGCTAATGCATCAGAACATCTGGTTATTATATATACATAGTAGCTATCACGGGGGGAAGAATCACATCTGGCCTAAAATCACTGATGAGGATGGGAGATGGGAAGGGTGGCCCACCCCCACTCCCAGACACCTCCTTGGAAAGAATACTGGCAACAGATGGAAACCTCTGGAAGAAGTTCCTTACTACAATCTCATTTAACCACAAGCTGCCCCAGCACACCTGCGATGGGCTAAGTGGGCGGGGAGGAAGAGAAAGCGCAACACCTGGCTCGCCATTGGTCAACCAGCCCTTGCCCCGCCCCCTGCCCCGCCCTCCCTTAAAGTGAAATTGAGGCCAAGTCTGCCTCTCCCCAAGCCCTCGCCAGCCAGGGGCCCATTTCCACCTACCATACAGAGAAGCGCGGGGCCCCCAATAAGTTCTCCGGGACCTTCTCTCCCGCTCTCTGGCCTCCCGTCGCGTCCAGATTCGTTGGCTGAGTAGAGTTGAAGATGGGCGAGAAGAAAGTTGGCGCCCTTCGCTTGCCGGGCAGAGAGTCCAACTCAGGCGAGGCGGAGGAGGGCCTGAGGGGGCGCAGGGCAGCGCTTCTCGCCTTTCCCCTCCTCCCTCAGGAAGGAGAAGCGCCGACTTCTCAGGTGCTTCCCCTCAGCAGCTTCTCTCCCTCCTCGACGGCGCGCGCGAGCTTTTTCCCGCGTTCTTTGAGGGGAAGGAGAAAACTTCGCTCGCTCGCTCGCTCGCTCGCCTCGCTCTGTTCGGCCGCTCGCGAAGTGGAACGAGGGAGAGGAGGAGAAAGAGAGCTGCGCTTGGGTGCGCGAGATTGGGCGCCAAATAAAAAGCCCGTTAGCAATAACAATAACAGTAACAATAATAAAATACGAAAGAGCAACGCACTCTGAGGCGCAGGAGCCGCCAAGCTGCCGCCTAGTCTGCGCGCACGCGCGGTTGTCCCCCTCGCAAAAAAAAGAAAATACTCTTTTTCTGAGGCGAGAGAGGATAGCCGAGAGGACTGCGGAGCTTGGGACGGTGGCGCGCGGTGCGCGTGCGTGTGTGGGGTCGGCACCTGAAGAAGCGACTGAGGAGCCGTCGAGAAACACCTGGCTGGACTGGAGAATTATTTAAACAGCATGCATCCCCCCCCCACCTCCTTCCTGGTCGTTCAGGCAATTCCCTTCCTTAGGAAGTCGTAACTAGCACCCCTCTCTCTCCATTTTTTAAAAAAAACCCACCCTCGTCACGAAAGCAGCTGGCAAAGCTGCGGGGAGACAGGGAGAGAGAGCGCGCGCGCGCCTTTTGGAGCCGAGGGCGGCGCGTGCCGAGTCGGCGTCCGCGCGTGGCTCCTCCGAGGCTGGAGGGGTGTGTGTGTGTGTGTGTTGTGTGTGTGTGTGTTGTGTGTTAGATTGACTGAGGGGAGGGGGGTGGGATTCCCAGCTGAGGGAAGAGCTGACTTTGGCCCGGCGAAATAGGGAGAAGAAGGGAGGCGCTGCTGTTGTGGCGGCTCTTTTCTCTCTCCCCCCCCCCCTCAAGCCGGCGCTGCGAAGTGGCTCGGAGAGGGAGGTGACCTTCAAAGGGGCGGGGGCTGGGGAGATAGATGATGAAGTGTGTGTGAAGGCGGAGGCGGCTGCTGCGAGATCTGCGCGGCTTTTAGCACAGCCCACGCGCGGGGGTGGGGGGTGGGGAGAAATCGCAAAGCGAAACGGCCAGCGGGGTGGAGAACCTGCCCAGCTGAAGGAGCGGCGCGGATCGCAGCACCTTCCGCGCTCGGGGAGGGTGGCGTAAGTCTCGCCTGCCTCTTCTCTTCCTCCCGCCACCGCTTCTGCTGCCTGCCTGCCTCCGGATCGGCTGTGCGCATGTTTACTCGGATGTAAATCCCCCCCCCTTTCGATCAATGGGCTTTACTCCCGAGGAAGCGTGTAGCCGATTCTCTCCGGTCGGGAGTTAAGATCCCGGCATCTGCGTCTTACAACTACAAGTGTGGGTGATGGATTTGGGGGGAAGCGAGGTTTTATTGGCAGGGGAGTTGGGAGGGAAAACCCACGATTATCATCATCATCATCAACAACAACAACACTACAGCGTGGAGGGTGGATTTGTTGGGGGGGGGGTTAGAGGATAACCCCCTTCCCCTCAACCGACATTTATGCGATCTGTAGGCATTTTCTACCGAGACACAAACGTCCCGATACTTAGCGTGTTCACAGGACACTTAGATTCGAGAAAAGCCTATAATGGTCCGGGAGATGGGCGTCAAGACATCCTGGCTCAACTCTTCTGGAGTTCATTGCCGTCCCCCCCCCCTCCAACATATGAGAGGAGAGCGGTGAATCTCCCAACATTTATTGGAGGAAGAGGGATGTCATAAGTCTGCACTGTTGTTGATCTATTACATTTTATGTGTTTATCTGCCCTTACCTAACAACATTCACAAGTTGACAATAGTAGCTGCGCAGAGGCTGAAAGGCACTTTTGGTTTCATGCGGGTGGGCAGGGGTTGTGTGCATGTGTCAACTAAGAGCACCTTTGATGTAAAGGTGCCTCCTTTTTAGAACACCCTTTTGCCAACCTAGTACCTTCCAGATGCTTAGGACTACAACTCCCATCAGCCCCAGACCTGGGGTTGATGGGAGCTTTAGTCCAAAACCTCTGGAGGTTTGGCAGCAGCTGTTTTAGTAGCTCATTGCTAACAGTAGCCTGGCACACAGTTGTGTTTTTGCAGGCATGGAGATTAAAGTGATGGAAATACCCTGCACCTGCTTAATTTCTGTTGTGTGGCACAGGAGCAGTCTGGGAGCAGGTAGTGGCAATCCTCTTTTGGAGCAGGGATCCAATCCTCTTTTGGAAGCCATCCAATTACATGGTTTGAAAGTAGGAGTGAAGACACTTCCAACTTGGCTCTGAAGAGGGGAGGAGAGAAAGCTATTTCTATACACTGCCAGAATCTGGACTTTTGTTGGGTCTGAGTTAGTGAAATATAAAGTCACTTAAAAGAAACTTTAGGAAGTTATGAAAGGTAAATACAAACTAATGAATAATCTTCCTTTATTTTCTTTCATCTGTACAAAAGCATAAAATCAAACCTCCCACCACCATCAATTAACAGGACTGTAAATGCATACAATTTTCAGTGATTTTTCCCTCCGTTGTTTAATTATAAACCTAGAAAATTATACTTAATTCCTAGTTCTGTAAATATTCAGGTGTGAGAGTAGTTACTAGTCATGAATAATCACAGGGGAATTAAATGGAACTAGTCTCTTGGGTAAAGGCAATCCCCTACTTCAGTAACACCAGTGTAGGTGCCTTGAGAAATGAATAAATTCAAAGATTATGCAAGCATAAAATATCCCTTGTGGAGGAGGTTGCCTGTTGGATCTCCATGTGATTCACTGTTCTGACATTGCTGCTTCCCAATTAGCCTCCAGTCGGAGGCACATAATTCTGCCATATCTTTGTATTGGTTGTACTGGGCAGCTAACAATTCTCTTTCATTTATTTATTTTTTACAAAAAAAATAAATCTTGGCTTTGAGTAGCTTCACAGGAATTAAATCTTTATATTTCAACTACCTTTTATCTCCACCCTCACTCAGCTCTCACCTGTGGCTCCTAGAAGGTATCAGCATGTGACAGTGGCCACACCCAGAGAAACAGCTTCGAATGGCCAGCTAAACCAGGTGATTGTAGCTGATGGGTCTCAAATCACTGGTGAGTTAGGAAATTCTCTTGCATGTGAATACAGGCTCTGGTGGATTGAGCAGACGAGACCAATAGTGGGTCCAGCAGTCAAGAAGGTGGTTTCTGTACATGCTGCAGAGGGAAGTGAGGTGCAGATGGGGCTCATCACCCTAACCTGGGAAGGGAGCCCATCTAGGAGAAGGAAAACTGATCCTACACCTCTCCTGCCTTGTGGGATATCTGCAGGAGAAGAAAAGGTTGAGGAGTAAACCCTACAGAAATCTGAAGTGGAGTTCCCAAGACAATTTAATGGCACCTTTTACACCCCCTTCTGGCAATTCCTTTAGCCAAGCAGGTGCCAAATGGCCAAGGCTCGCATCCTTTTGGTGCCCCTAATGCAGTGGTTTGACTCCACCCCAGAGATGAACTCCATTGTCTCTTGAGACAGAGGAATTCAGCAATTGGACAGCTCCCTCATACAAGATGCAAAAACCCAGCAACTATTTTTTCAAGCAGGGATTGAGAGCAAAGGGCCGTCTAGGTGCTGCTGGACAGCTCCCATCATTCCTAACTATTGGTTATGTGGGCTTGGTTTGCAGGGAGCTGAAGTTGAACAGCATCTGGTTTTCCACCTCTGACCTAGCCTGCACAGCCAGTGTAGGTCCATATGTCTGCAAGCAAGTCATATTGAATTCAGCTGAACTTTCCATCAGTAAGTGTGCAAAAGATTGCATATTCCTTGTGCTCTCTGTGAGAAGTCTTTCACTCTATAGAGTGTGCATACTGCATACCTGCCTGTGACCATTTAACGGGGTTCTACTTTCCCCACTCCAAGTGATTCCATAAAATTTGTTCTGCAACCAACCATTATCTGACATGGGAGTTCTCACACTTTACCATTCTTTTTATCTCCTAAATATTTTGCATTTTTAAAAGTTGCTGCTCTTTCTGCAGCTTCTAGATGGGAAGACTTGCAGAGGGTGGCCAAGTGATTTGCTCAGCATTAAGGCATAGCCAGGTCTGAAAAGTCTCCTAGGGATGTGTGAAAGGCATGTTTCTAAATAATAAACACCACCAGGAAGCTAGTGGCTTAGGAAATAAGGGGTCTATTATCCTCTTAATTCAGAAGCCTAACTCCCATGCTGTTAATGGTGCACCACATAAAAGAAAGAGCGTGGGCCCTAAATTATTATGCTGTACATTAACTAACTTAAGTCACAAATGCATCACACAGAGTTGAGTACACAAGGGCTGCAACATTAGCATCTCAGCAGACACACAGCTTTGTTTATCTGTCACTTAAAACCTTGAAAACAACATACAAGTTTTAGAATTCAGCACTCCTGAGCTGCTAAAGACTTGTGTTCCTTTTAGAGTCTATGAAATGTATGGAGAGAGGAAGAGAGGTGAGCTGAATGAGGAAGCAAGGTAGTGCTTACCAGTAAGGTTTCAAATACTCATTGATACTTGACCAGTAAACAAATTAAATGTTGCATGATATAATGGTTAGAGAACCAAACTAGGGGTGGTATTCAGTGCTAGCCCTACTCAGAGTAGACCCATTGAAGTTAATGGAAATGACTAACTTAGGTTCATAAATTTCCTACTCTGAGTTTGACTAACACTGGATACAGGCCTAGGGCTGCAAAAGCAGACATGAGCTCAAATCCGCACTCAGCAATAAGAGCTCACTGGACAACCTTAAGCCAGTCACTATCAGTTTAAGCTACTCTGCAGGGATGCTGAGAAAATTAAACCCTTTATGCAATCCTGAGCTATTGGGGTCCTGTAAAGTCTATCAAGAGGAGACAATCACAAAGGTCCGCTGGTATAAAGCTGCAAAGTTTTTAAAAATTGTACAAGCAAAAAAACAAATACTTGGTCACATCTTAATTATTTTACAATAAGAAAGAAAAAAACCTTCATCCGCACCCCAAAGGAGTATTCAGGAATGTGAAACGCTTTCCCCACAAACAGCTGCTAGACCTATCTGTCTGCAATTTGGCATTCTGGAGGTCTCTTGTGCCTATAAATGTCGTCCACTTTGGCCAAAAAGAGAAAAAATCAATTGTAAGATTCTCCATTGCAGTGAATGGGGAAACACATTGTTTCCTTTATGCAGGAGGAGCTCAGACCTCAAAACACAGACTGAAGTGGAAAGAGCAAAAAGCAATTAAGAAACAGATTACAAAATGATTAGTCACACATACAGGGTGAATCTTGCAGCCTGTGCACACCCCTACTATCCAATATGGATACAGGTGGTTCTGTGGTTCAAACCACTGAGCCTCTTCAGTTGCTGATCGGAAGGTTGGTGGTTCGAATCCACACGATGGGGTGAGTTTCCATTTCTCTGTCCCAACTTCTGCCAACCCAGCAGTTCAAAAGCACACCAATGCAAATAGATAAATAGGTATCACTGCAGCGGGAAGGTAAATGGTGTTTCCATGTGCTCTGGTCCCCTGTGTGCCAGTAGTTTAGTCATGCTAGCCACATGACTCAGAAAGCTGTCTGCAGACAAATGCCGGCTCCCTTGGCCTGAAAAGCAAGGTGAGTGCCGCAGTCTTTTGACTGGACTTAACCATTCAGGAGTCTTTTACCTTTACTACCCAGTAATAATGCTAACACTACAGTAGGATAGATAGCAATGTATTTTAGCCTCTTGTGTGCCTGCT